CAAATCTCATCAATAGAAAGGTAATCTAGTTAGCTTTGTAATGTTTCACAAGATGCCCCACGTTGTATGCTTCTAAATATCAATATGAAGCCTTTTCTCTAATTCTTTGTATTGGAGAAAGCTCTCTCATATTTGTGGAAAGGGTAATGTCAGGTATATTTCATTTGAGGTAAGGTTAGGGTCCTTTTTTTGTATTCAATCTTGATACTTTTGTCAAAGATGTATAAATCTAACTTTAAAGAGTTTTTAATCTAACGATATTTAAATAACTTCAAGATTGCAAAATTGATTCAATATTCATAACCTTAAAAGCAACACATTTTTATTACAAAAGGTGGAGAAGGGGATAAAAACATATTCAAATATGATGTTATGAAAGGTACAATAGTGGTAGATAACAACTTCTATTGTCATATTATTCCTTGGATGTTGGGTGTCTAATCAGAGCAGGATCTTTGTCGATACTTGCCCCCTATTTCTTGATCATTTCTTGGGTAACTTCTTTTGATTTGCTTTTGAGTACACAAATCTCAGCTTTCTCCTAAGCTATTTCTTGGTCAAATCCTGTCATTATCTTCCCTTACTAGCAATTGAGCTCAGTTTGAATTTCAAAACCAATCTCTTTGGTGGCAATAGTTGTATCCTGACTCAGGATATTTCTTGCAGCTGTACTTGGCATAGCATTTTCTTTTCTTTTTGAATTTCCCTCTACTTCTCTTGATTTCAGAAGATCTGACACGGATGTCTCCAAGGTTGTATCAACCTTGCTTCCTTTTAAACCTGTAGGCTAGTCTCAAATTACCTTTCCTTTTTCTTTTTCATTTCTTATTCTTGCATCATCTTTTAGCTTAAGAGAAGTATCGAGAATTAAATCTTCCATACATACTTCATCTTCCTTGGCTTTGTCTTGTCCTCCATTTGTTTTGACACTATCAACTTCATTTCTGTAGTTGACTCCCAAATGTTTGATCAAAATGGATTCAATGTTGGCATCCACTTCTATAACTCCATGAGTCACAAGATCTTGAACTCGTCGTTTGAATTTGCCATAATTTTTAATGGAGTGTCCTCGGATTCCAGCATGATACTCACAAAAGACCCTTTTATTATACCATCTAGGGTAAGGCGGTACCAAAGGTTTAGCCAGACATGGGGCAATAAGATGGACTTCATGTAATTTGGCATATAACTTGCTACATAAGATTGAAGGAAAACAGGGTAGAGATTCCCTTGGTATGATCGTTTCTTTACTATTGCTTTCTTGAAAACATTTTCTTTGAATGTCTGACTTTTGACCATTGTCTTGAGAGAAAATCTGACTTGAAAATTTCTCTTTTCCAACTAGCTTTGGTTCCTTGAGGAGTTTAGGTTTCCCGTTTTTGAAATATAATAACCCTTTTTCCATAAGGTCTTGGACTTTTAATTTCAACATTATACAACTTTTAATAGAATGACCAAAATCTCCAGAATGATAATTGCATGGATTCTTGATATTTTTCCAATTTGGATGCAAATAAGTACTAGGAGGAATGGATGTTACAAGATCACTTTCAAAGAGAAAAGGTAAAAACTCTTAATACGCAATTGGAATTGGAATGAAATGTGTCATCCTTTTTTCCTTCTTGCCTTTTTTATCCATTTTCAATGGGACTTGTTCCACGTTTCTCGTTTTTGTACCAGCTTCAATGTCCATGCTATCTGTCATATTTCCTGATTTGTGAGAATGGGTTGGATTTCTATATTCAACAACAGGTTCTTGGTTATTTGTCATCATATCAGTGAAATCCAAACTTTTTCCTTAGGCTTTCATCTTTTCATGCTCAATAGGGTCTTCTGACATTTTCTCCCCATATAGCAAAGTAACCATTATACTCCTTATCTTAGACATTTGTTCCCTGGACTCAACTTGGAACTTTCTCGTTTCTTCAAGCATTTCTCGTTGGATTTCCAAAAGTTGTTCTTGGATTCTCCCAACCCTTCTAACTCGAGCTAATATTACATTCATTGCTTTCAATCTTTTTTAAGACCTGCCCCTAATTTTCAGAACTCCTGATTTCAAAATCTTTTACTGATTACTCCCATGTTTTCATGATTGATGCATGTTATCAGGCTATGCAGAACATGATTGTGAATGTAATATGCATGTATAAAAAGGTGTAATTCAAGAGTGATTATCTCAAAACAACTTCCATTGAACATAAGGAGATTTTTCTAGTACATCTAGAGATCATTACATATAAGGGACAACTTTCCCTCCTAATTTTTCTATCTCCTTAAAAAGCCAAGTTAATTTCCATTTATGCTCTAGAATCAGATCATCATCCTGCTTCAGTTTCATTGTAAAACCAGCTAAGTTCACCAGCTTGTGGGCTACCTTGCTTGCTTGAGCAACATTTTTCTTCATGTCATATTCTTTTTCTTGAATCTTACCTGCCATTTCCTGAATTTGTAGACAAATTGTTCATTTTCTTTTATCATAAAACATTTATGCTCAAGAAGTTCTTATACCAGATCTCCATAATCATCCATCATTTTCAGTAATGTGTGGTTCTGAGCTCTAGTGGATTTTATTTCAACATTAATCTCACACTGATGAATCAGGTATGAAATTTCCATATTGGCTATATCCTTTTTCAATATCTGGCTTTCAGCTTGACATTTTTTCCAAATTGGTGATGGTTGCATTGTATATTTCTTCAACAATTTGAAAGTCATAGGAGAATTTCTTTGCTTGATCATCATTTTTCTTTTTCTAGTAATCTGTATCACTCTTTAGTTTAATGATTTATGTCATCCATTCTTCAGGAGTATTTCCTAATCCAACATCTTTGAAGGTTTGACTAACTTTTTGAAAATCATCAAGCATGGCTTCGACCTCTATGCTTTGTTTCTTGTTTTTGTCTTTCCAAAAACGGGCTTGAGCTTCATAAAAATTCTCTCCCTTGTGACTGTTTCTATTGATGCTCTTACCATAAAAGGCTTTCGGTACCAGTCTAACAGGATTTTTGCATGCATACCCCTCAATTACTTTAACAACATTTCAAGATATCCTTATTTGGCTGCTTCACAGTTTACTTGATCATGAAACCCTTTCTCCATAATGAAAGCCTTTGATTTTGATAATTACTCTTGAATCAACACCCTTGAGTATGTCATGATTATGAAAATGCAAATAGAATAATTAATATGTGCATTTGTTAGAATATATACAAAATTGGTTAGTAAGAAACAAATCATATCCTAACCTCATGCTTTCTAGTTTCATGCTTTGTTTGGAAAAATTACCTAACCACATGATTTCTAGTTCGCATGCATTTATTTAGAAAATAAAATAATATTAAATAAAATGAAAAGCTCAACATGCTTTCCCTTGTGTACTTAGTCTTACAAGACTCAATCAGGTTAGGCTCCACCTAGACTTCAGTTCTAAGTTTATTATATGCTGAGTTTTGGCTCTAAAGTAAGAAGGGTCAACGAATTGTCCTTCGTTGGTGTCCCCTTGGACTGCCAAGCCCTTAATCCTGGTCCATTACAGACTTTTGGATTAAGTTCAATTCGAAGGAACACACTTCCTTAAGTCCATACGGATGTGAAAACCACACGAGGAACATAAGGTGTGAGCTCAAAGAATGGTCCTCTATCCCATACGAAGGTGTAAACCACACGAGGGAATAGTTTCTGATTCACTTAAACAGGATAAGAGCGGGGTTTTAGCTCATGTCATGAATGCAGTGCACAGTGGGTGAGGAAAAGCATAAAATAAAAATAATATACAACCTATTATTTTATTTTAATGATCCAAAAATTAAATTTGTAGACATAAAAAAGGCAAATGTTAGCAAAGTAATAAAAATAATTAAAACAAATTTATTATTTACTGCAAAGACAACTAATTAATAAATTGGTAGTTGGACTCTCATTTTAAAAAAGTCCCCAGCAGAGTCGCCAAGCCGTCAAGACGTTTCTTTACCCTGGCGACAGAGACTGCAAATAGTACACCCCAGACGGTGTAACTAGTCTCGAAAAAGTAAGTGTTTATCCTCAATGAATCAGATTAAACACCAAATTTAGAGTCGTCACCAATCTTTTATATGGTGAGTTTGGTCACCAAAATGTCATATTATTTTAATAAAGATTCCAAAGAATAATATTAAAATAATACAACTCAGGTCTGCTTACCAGAAAAATGAGTTCGGGAGTCGGTTACATATGGGAAAGAATTAGCATTCCCACAACGCCCAAAATTAGTACTAGTATTTATTAATTAAATGTCTTTGCAGTAAATAATAGACTTGCTTTCTAAATTCAAATTTAATATAGATAATTACTAAGTAATATTTTAACATAAATATTAATCATTTTATTATAATATTTAATATTAAAATTAAAAAAAATATAAATTATACATAATAATAATCCTAAAATAAAAAATACTAATATTAATTGTACTAATGATTAATGATTAAAGAAATAATATAATAATAAAATTAATTAACCCTATTTGAAATACGACTAAAATAATAGATTAATTATTTAATTTACCCTAAATTAATTCAGGACTAAAAATATAAGCTTATTAACATAATAGGGACTAAACATTTAACCTTAAAATATATGTATTAATAATCATTGCACTTTAGGGTATTTTCAAATATTAGTCTTTAACTTCAACTATAAATACCCTAGCTCATTTAACTTCAAAATCATCCCAAATCATTTCTTTCTCCCAATACTAGAGAGTTTTCTTGTGAGTAGTGAGTATTTTGTAAACACCTGTAAATTTTCTCTTTTTAGTAAAAGATCTGCAGCAGTCCGGAGACATAGGCATTATTGGCTGAACTCTGTTATCATTTTCGGGTATTATTTTTCCGCTTTTATTTCGCATTCTCACTAATCTGGTTATAAGAAAATTACTCGTTCTCGTTTTAATTCCCAACAGCATCCACCATTACTCCACCGTTGCAACCTTGGTTTCCACCATTTCAGCTGCAATCCACCAGCTATTGCTCCGATAATGAGGTTAATTTGCCTGTGTTGATTTGGGTTAATGATTCGATGGCTGCCACTGCTGAAAATGCCCTACAACTATCTGCAAAAATATTTGAAAATAATATTGTTATAAAGTATTATCATTAGTATTGAATAATAAATAATAAAAGAAAGTAGAGATTGTCCCCAAGTCTTTACACAACCTTCAAAACTCAAAATAAGAGAGTGAAATTTCGCTTGTGTTGCGCTCTTCGATAATAAATCTTTCCATAAAGGAAAGAATAGAACCAAAGATAAAGCTAGGATTGAGCTACGAGGGGACAAGATGTTTAACTTTAAAATAAATAGGGTTCTAAAAACAATTAATCCATAAAAATTAAGAGATTAAGGGTTTAATAACAATAATTCTAGCAAAAAAATCAGTAAATAACAATAAAACTTACTGCATTTTCCCTGTTGTTTAACAGGAGTGACGGGACCTCGGTCCCTCCAATCGAAGCTTATATCCAGTGGCACTTGATCCATTGAAATATCTGAATAATTTGCATAACTAAACGATGTTGATTCAGAACTATCCATCTTATGATATCCGGTGTGAGCTGCAATGAATTCATCATGTATCAAATCTGCAAATTCATTCAGTCCCAACTTAAAACTCCTGTTTCCCACAGTATTGAAGCTCTCGATATATTCGAAGGTCTCCTTGAATATATTAAAACGCTTCTCCTTCTCCGATTCGCTGTTATATTTTCGACCATAATCAACCATCCATTGCTCATGTTTTTCAACAATGGCGGTTTCATGGATTGGTCGGGACGTGACAAGAGATGCCAATGACCTAAAAATTAAAAACGAAAACACATTCATTAAACCCATTTTTTTGTGTGCTAATTACTGATTTGTGAAGAAGCAGGAAGCAATGCATGTTTGTACATATACCACGATGCGTGAGAATTGAACAGGTCGTTTTAGAAGTTAATTTAGAAAAAAAACCAATAATCAAGACATTATACCTTTTTTGCTTTGTCTTTATCACTGAATTACCTCGTTTTCTTTCCTTTGACCGGATTTCATTCCTTTTAAGCCCTCCTTAATAGTCTCTTGATGACCCTCAAACGGAATCTATCAGTGCATGGAATATCTTCTTAAGATACCAATTAAGTAATTTTTTAAAGATCCGAATCCAAAATTAAAAAAAAGGAAAGATATTGATTTTGTTCAAGTGTGAAAATAATTGATGCAAAATGGAAATGGAAATGGAAAATGTCAACCTTTCTACATATTTTTATTTTGGATAATATCACATATACCATATGTATTTTAATAAAATATCTAATATGATTTATATTTAAAAGGTTTAATTTGACATTTTTTTCTTTGATAAGACCTAGGCAGGTCTATCCACTGGGTGAAGTGGAGCAATATTTGTGTGCCCAAGGAGTATGGCGGGTTGGGTATATTTGATTTGCATATTAGAAATCGATCGCTCCTGAATAAATGGATCGTTAGGTTCGGCGTTCAGCCTAACAGCTTGCGGAGGAAAGTTGTGTCTGCCAAGTATAACCCCGACCAGAATGCATTGCTCCCGAAGTCAGTCTCAAAGAAAAAAAGAATCATGGTGTTGGCGAAATATCACCAAGGTTCTAAACATGGATGATGATGTCCTATTGAATAATTTGATATGTGTTGCGGGCGATGGCAGCAAGAATGATTTTTGGAAGGGCTATTGGACTGTCGTTTCCTCACTGAAAGCAGCCTTCCCGAGAATCTATAGCATTGCGGTTCAGAAAAAAGATAAGGTTAAGGAATTTTGGTCATAAAGTCAACGGGTCCTGGGTCTGGGACATCAAACATAGACGATCTCTAATTGAGTGGGAAGTAAATGTTCGGAATAGCTTCTTTGCAGTTATCAAGAATGTAACGAATATTGGCGCAGCAGTGGATCGTGTTAAGTGGAGCGTGTCATCTGATGGACTGTACGTCCCAAAGAAGTATTGTATGAAAGCTTCGTGTGTTGGTTTAGTCGAGGATCAGTTCTGGAATCTAGTGTGGTCCAATTTGGCACCGCCCAAAGTCGAGGCTTTCGTTTGGAGGTTAGTGCAAAACAGAATTCCATGCTTTACGAAGTTACAAAGACGGGGCATACCAGGTACAGAGAACGCTCGTTGCGTATTTTACATATTAGAGCAAGAAACACCAAATCATCTATTCTATCAATGCGAGATTGTATGGAAAGTTTGGCAAAAAAATGGTGTGAGTCGTGGAACGTTTCCATTGTGTTCCCTGATAATGTTAAGTTCCTTGTTTGCCTGTGGGACAATCAGAAAATCAGAAAACAGGACAAACCCATCTGGAGCATGGCGTTCTTCGGGTTTATTTGGACCATTTGGATTCATAGGAACAATATTGTTTTCAAAGGGTGTGAATTCTCCGTTGATGGTATATATGTTTCAACTTTGCTAAGAATTGGTGGTTGGGCTAAAAGCAAATGGCCCTATGATATACCATCCATTTCTGATTTCATGAGATTTCCTAGTACTTTCACAGTTAGGGTGGTAAACTAGGGTCATTGTTCTATAGTCGGGGGAGTTTCTTTAGCAGGCTTGGAAGTCTATTAGCTATTTAAAATAATTCCGAGGTTTCTTCTGTTATTTCATGTTATATGTTGTATTATTGCAGGTTCTGTTGTATAGGGATAAAGTTTTTTCATCTTGGTGTGTTGAATTTGGTTATTGTTTGCGTATGGATAAGCTGGAATCTGTTGGTCGCAGCTTGTTAACGAAAGCCTAATCCTATAGACAGTCTAATGGGGTGGTATTTGCAGAATTGGTAGTAGTGTGAGTTGATATGAAAGGTTCTTTAGAGGTTCTCGCAATGTTTCATTAGTAGGTTCAGTTGGGGGTTCAACTACTGGTGTAAGTTGGTTTTCGATTAGGATAAGGCAACATGTTTGATAGATAAGTTGTATTCGCTCCAAGGGCTACCAGTGGAGAAAATGGTCCTGATCCTTATAGCCTAAGAATAGATCTTAGCACATCCAATAGAAGAGGTGGGTAGCTTCTCTAAATCCATCGTTCATTGCAGTAGTGGTTAGAATCGGACTTAACATGGTGCTCTTATCTTTGTCTGGTTTGTTAAGTTGAAGTTTGATGGTTTTAGGGCCCCCCTGGTGGTCTCTGACTTTATTGGTGTTCATGGTTATACCCTGGTTTTTCTATGGTGAGGCGTAAATTTTGGTTCTCGTCTGTGTTGGTTGAAGCCACTTTGGTCTGAGTTGTTGGGGCTGGCTAGACCACAAAGCAGACTGATCTAACCTGCTACCGAGTGGAGAGTAACTGTTCTCCATGTCAGTTGTGCTGCTCTTGACTTGAGTGTGGTGAAGTGAAAGTTCAGTGCAGTTGTTGGTTTCACGTTTTGGCGGTTTGTTGGTCTTATCTAAAGTTGGGGCATACTGCTATGATTGTGGTCAAGGTCTGAGTCGTGGCTGAATATAAGGGTCATTTGACGGGCGGATTGGTTGAGTTCTCCGGCATGGTACGCGAGTTTTGTCATTGGGGTGTAGTATAATAGTTTGCAGACTATCATGGCAAGGACGTGTGGAGCTCCCATACATTTATGTTACAGTACTCTTCCTTATTGTTGTAGACTCGTGGGACTAGTGATCCCTAGTTTATTAAGGGCAATATGTCGAGTTTGGTACCGACCCTGCTATTTGTTGTTGCAGGATTATGGCACTTCTATGATGCATTCTTTTTTCTCCCATCTAGGTTAGGAATGTTTTTTAATGAGGCTCATGACAATATTGTACTTTGTATTTGTTTTCGTTAATACAAAGTGCAACCCCTTTAAAAAAAAAGATAATTGTTTTGAGTTGTAGCTTATTTTGTTGTTAAATTAACAGATAAGTGTCTGATGTAAGGTTGAACGAATTTTAAAGAACTCATATATCTCGAATGCTAAAGTAAATTAATAATGTCTTTTTGAACTTTTGATGTAAGGTTAACCTACTCACTTGATTGTGGATCTAGGAAGGAAGCAAACACCATGTAGAATAAGTGAATGGTTACAAATCAAAGTGGCTTTGACGGTTGATGTAGGGTAAGAATGGAGGGCTGAAAGTGAAAAACTGAAGGTTGGTTTTAAGTGAAGTAGCGTGAGGTATGGCTTATGAAAGAAATGGAATATGAAGTTGGTGTTATGGTGATAGTATCTTGAAGAAAGGATCAAAGAAGAACCTATACTAAGAAGTATAGACCCAGACTTTATATGCTCTCTCCAAGGGGTGGTAAACAAGGACTTGGATCCACTAGATATGAGATTTAGGAACCACAAGTATCAATGGAAGATATAGGGATTGACGCCACAAGTAAGACTAGTTAATAAGTCAATGGAGTCACAAAGGATAAGGAGATAAAACTCACAAGGAATTATATTGATGAAAAGATTGTATGTTTTTACAAATGAAATGCCTAAGTATGTATAAGAAAAGAAAGGGGTTTGGACAAATGATTACATGTTTCGGTGAGCTCTTGTTCCTTTACATAAAGTCATAATTAATGCTTTACAAAGACAATTGAATGATTATATAGGTTCGGTTTAAATGAGAGGGCATGTTGTTTTGATGAAAGGTGATGAAAGGCTTCATTTTGGCGCCTTGGGTGAAGGGGAGTGTTGATTTGGCCGAATGGTGAGATGCTTCTTGGAGTTTGGCGCCCAAACGAGTGGATTGCATGCCTTGGCCAATCGGTTGGAAAACCCCTTGGTGTTTAGAGCCTAGCCTTAAGTCACATGAGGTGCACATGCTTTGTGAATGCACAAAACAACCTTCTTGCTTGCACATAGTCTTCCACACCTTAGGATGTAGAATAAGCTTGATGTCCATGATTCTCCACACCTAAGGAAAGTGGAGGTTGCTACCATGGTGCTCCTTCGGTGCTTTAGGAGACTTAGGTAGTGTCAAGTAGGTAGCTAGTTGAGTTAGAGCTGGCACACTCAAGCTAGCTAGCGACACTCCAGATACTCAACTACCATCTCAGCTTCACTCCAGCTGTCCTTAGTCATCAGCTCAGCTACCAAGTCCTCAGCTATCCTTTAGCTACCTTTAGCTCCTTCCCAGCTCCTTTAGCTAGCCTTTCATTTTTATTTTCTTTTTTTTACTATGGGGTACCACATTTTACTGCCTCTGTGACATTGTTTTCCTGGATATGGTTAGTTTACAGGTAGATGAATCTTTTCTATCAGATTATTAGGAAATACTTATATATAAATTGGATGTTTTTGGTAGATTGAACAAAGGATGGTTCTAAATGCTCGTGTTTTCGATTGTTCAACTAAATTGTCAATATTTTAAGTCGATATTGAACCGGGTTCGGTCATGTATGTTAATGTATGTTATTCCTTCTGATTTTAAACGCTATTTATTCATCAATCTTCCATTAACACAATTTTTAGATTTTGAGTGCATTGAGATACAATTAGATAAGACTTATATAATAAATAATTACCTAAACTATATCCTCCTTTTAGTTTAAGTACCTAAAGTATTTTTAGTCAAAATAAATACTTAAAGTTATATTTTTGTTTAAAATAGGTATCTAAAGTATTTTGTCAAAATATGTACTAAAGTATTCATTTTTTTATCGAAGTACCTAAAATATTCTTTAATTAATGTCACATGTCAACTTTTTATAACTTAGATGAAATTTTTTGAATAGTTTAGGTACCTATTTTGACATAAAATACTTTAGACACTTATTTTGACCAAAAATACTTTAGACACTTATTTTGACCAAAAAATACTTTAAATAATTAAATGAAAAAATGAGTATACTTTAAATACTTATTTGTGATATAAACCATTAGATAATGTAGACATT